TGTATATCTATATAACTATAACTAAAACTAAATCTATTGCTCCGAATAACATGGGTATCTATGTATATCTATATAACTATAACTAAAACTTAATCTATTCCTATGAATAATATAGGTAACTGTGTATATCTATGTATAACTATAACTAAAACTAAATCTATTCCTACGAATAACATGGGTATCTATGTATATCTGTATAACTGGAACTAGAACTAGAAGTAAATCTATTCCTATGAATAGTGTGGTTATATTTTGTGCATTTATATTATAAGTCGAATTAGGCAGCTACTCCGAAAATCAGGAGCAAGTCTACATTCTGTCGCGAGTCTTGCTCATCGTACGTACTGAACATATGAAAACTTCAGCACAAATACTCCAAGAATGTAAACCACTTGTAGCATCCTATTACGATCGCCTAAATATAAAGAGAAATATGATGAATGATACCTATTTTTTGTTTTGACTTTCATAACTCTGGAAAAGTGGAATCTGTAAATCAATCAATTCTTCTTTATTTTGATGTTATGTTTCAACTACCTAAGTTACTAATTTCATGAAACTTACCCATTTTTTCTAAAGAACTGTTATCATTTAACGTTAAACCTCGTATTTAATTGCTCAGTATTTTTTGTCCAGTAACAAATTAGTTTTAGTATAGTAAATAATTTGAAAAACTCAGTAATTAATTTAAAAATATTCAGTGTTTAATTTATTTTTGTTCAACGTTTTATTAATTTATATTAGTAAAATTTGTCACCAATTTTAATATCTTTACCAGCACGTGACAATTTGCAGCAGCTAGATCTAACTGCCATAAAGATGACATGTTTAGATATAAATCTTTTGAAAATTTTTATCGTTTATATAACATCATGACTTTCTGTTACATCTGTTAGGGATTTTTCCAAATACATGAATACACTGGGTGTAGGGTGTGGGTGTGTGGGTGTGGGCGTGGGTGTAGGTGTGAATATTATCTTTAATGCACCCACACCCACACACGAAATAATATGAGCTAAAGCCATAACTTTTTCAAAATTGGTTATTGTTGGTTCATTCATGATGTTCATAATACGTGTTTCTTGGCGTATTTGATGTATTCTTCTCGATTTTCTAACACCAGCTATTGCTTGTATAATTTCACCTTCAACATAACTTTGTTCTTTTTTAAACCATGTAAAAATTTCCAAAAATTTGGGTGGCTGCAATTTATTAACGACGCGAATCTATTATTCCAGCCCTCCACGGCGTTATTTGTCCGATGTTGACCTTGAATTGTGTTGTCATTTACATTCCATAATAATATATCAAATTTTGTTGCTTTTCTTGGCCGTGATAAACGACCTTTGACACCTATATAATACTCTTCAAAATATTTTAATACAGGTTCACCTTCTGCTGAAAATTGCGCCTTTATTTCATCAAATATAGGAATTACATCAGGAACAGGTAACAGTGCTAATGCTGGTAATGAACGAATTTGTTTTGCAAAATCTTCATTTTCACTATATAATGTCTTTAAGCCAAAACGTATAGCAGCACGATAAACATTTTGACATAAATGAAAAAAACATCCGGATAACTTTGAACTTGGAAACTGTTTTTTAATTTCATTAATAGTTGCACGTTCATAATCAATCATAATATTTGATGGATCAAAATTTGATATTAAATTCTTTATCTGTTGAAACATTTCTTTATATAAACGTTGTTTCTTACCTAAATTAAATAGAGAAACATCGATGGAAGAATTACAAGATTTACTAAATCATGCTTACCTGGCAGCAATATATAAACAACTGGTAATATATGACTTAAATATGTAGCATGAATTATATATAATTGGAAATACAACTCTGGAACTACACTAAATGTACCAACTAAATATATATAATTTGCATTTTCCAATATTTTTAATTGTCTTTTTGTTGAAAATATTAATATACGTTGATCGATGGGTCCCGAATTGAAATGTAAAAATATTCGATTGCGAGCTGTTATTATGTACTGCGGATCAATGACAATGGAATCACGAGTTGTTGGTAATGATAATGGATTTTCACTTCGTTGTCGGATTCTTCGAACATTGCGTTTAAGATTTAGTAAATTTGGTAATGATGAGATAGCATTATCAGATAATTTGGACACAGCATCAGCTACAATAGTATGTGTTGTCAGACTACTTTGTTTGGCTGCATCACTCATTTGTGTACGTGCTGCAGCTACTTACCCAGTCGAACTGTTTGGTTCATGATTGTGATCACCAATTTTTTGGATAACTTGATTGTTGATTGTATGAAGTCGGCCGCGACATTGACCATGTCGAGAATTACGGCAACACCATATCACCTTGCCACCTGATTGTTTATTTACAGTATAAAGATGACCTTGATGTTCAAATAATGACTTTCCTTTAAAAGTTTTCATAATATAATAAAAAAAAATGTTTATCACCGTAAAAAAGAACGTTGATATGATTATCAGATAAAATGTTGGGGCACAAATCAAAAGTCTATTGACGCAAGTAAAGGACGGGGGCGCATAAGACAGCGTTTTGGCCCCTTTGATTATTACGACCAAACCTAATTAAATCATATATAGAATGAAAGAGCACGAACTCACGATCATTTTGATGCCAAATCTGAGGTATTTTGAATGGGTTATAAGTGTAAACCGAATCTAGCTTTACTACATGCGAAATGGGCGTTTCATCATTAATACTTGTCAACAGTGTG